TCGGGTAGTTGAAATTCGTTCCAAAATAATGAAGAACGCGTTAAGTTGTTCTATATTGAAAATTTATCCATTTACATCACATAATGTGCTGTTCAGTAGTAAAAATTTCCTCAATTTTGTGAAATTCATCCAATCCAACTTCAAAATAGAATAACGAGAGCCTCACAAACACAGAATACAAGTGAGATCAGATATGACGCACAAATATCTTAAACTTGTCTTACAGCCAAGCGAGCACATAGATAGTGCAACGGGCTCAGAGTTGCATATGCGCAAGGCGGTAGTGACTTGTTAACACGTGTGCTAAGGGAGAAAAAGACGACTCGATCGTCTTCTTCTCAATTACTTCCTGGGACTCGCTTGTAATGGCAACGTGTGCTAATCCTATTAAGTAAACAAAGACCTGAGTAACATTAGTAACTACCTCCGAGCGTTCTTGTAAATATTATACATGGAAAAAAGTGAACATATTAAGGATATACATTGAAATGTATGCCTTCCAAGAAATCTTGAGCTTAAATACTACTTGGGCATCTGTCAAAATGGTGTCCTTACTCTCCATGTAATAGCAGTTGGTACAATGCCTTCAAATAACAACATAAAGTAGTGTCAACCATGAATTTCACGTGACAGGTTCACCTTAGAAAACGATGCTCAACAGACTGGATTAAAAAAGCGGTGATGTTCCCACCCACCTCGCCCTGATGGCAAAACGACCGAGGGTGAGCGCAGACGCAGTAGCCACTTGTCCCACTCCAGGTGTACCACGCTGCGGTGGGGTGGTTCGCGTATTAGAAGGACGTACCTTAAAGCACATATCAGTAAGCTAGTATTGTCTGACTCCCAGTCCTGAGAAGGGCATAATTACCACACCAGTTGTCATTATTTAGAGCCAAGAATTTATGTCAACTTTAATATACATTAAGGGAAGCGATGACACAATGGCGACGGCCCCCCAATGCAGACCTATTTTAGGTTTTCTGGCAATCGTTGCTTTCTATGGTTTTTAAAAGGCAGGGAGGCCGGAACCTAAATATTTTGAATTAATGTGATAATTGTTTACAAATGGGTTTAGCAAGACCAAATTGTAAGTTGATATTTCTATATGATAACTGTGGTTGGAACACTTAAAGAAGCAGTCAGCAAACACAGGTTATTAATAGCTTAGATCAAACTGCACAACTGAGGGTACTGCTCGGACACTAGGCGTCTGAATAAAACACAAAACACGCTGATTACAAGCATATCGAGGATGTTTCGTGGCTCGTTCAACCCTTCTAAACGACAACGTGCCATAGACAAAAGCACAAGTGTCCCGATTTGTCTGTAGAACAAAACTAAATTAATGAATACTTACTGACGAATGGACAATTTAGTGCCATGATTTCCACTGAACATACAGACTAAACTTACAACCATAAAAAAATGGCGGTCACGTATGCCAATATATTTCAACTAGCTTACGAAAACTGGAAAAACACTGTTCCCTAATGCGTCCATTAACACAGTATGTTGTGGCCTGTGCAGAGCCGACGCTCTCTGGCAACACAAAAGCTATTGAAATTCCCAACGTATGCTGTAGAAAACGAAGATAGCTGTATGTTTAAACCGATAATTTCTGTGTTAGGTTGTGTCTGCATTGAATCAACAGGGATACGGCGCAAACATCCTAGAGCCATTAAATGAATTAAAAGGCCTTCACGACGAAAAACCACACCAAATGCAGGCTTAGCCTCTTAGTGCACGTAGCTCCTGTAAAGAATTAAATTACAGGACAGCTTACAGATCAAATTTGCATTTAAAGAAGAATGTACGACACCACAATGATGACTCAATAAGGTTCGTTAAAAAGTGCCTACCCACTACACCTCGATAAGCCAGAAAAAAACCAAGATTTTCAGAAAATATCAAGAAACAGATACTTGAAGACGCATTTCTGACAAAACTGCAATCGAGACCACATGGCTATCACGAGAGAATGACAACGGAAATGAGGTAAAATAGGTCGGCGTAATAAGATATAAACGTAGCATGCTCATGCGAGCCTGAAGATAATGGGGACGCGTGTCCGGGAAAGCGAGTAATCTAGGAAGTGCTTCGTCTGGACTTACCATAGTAACCAAAGAAGATAAAGAAATGGAATGCGGTTAATGCGAGGTCCAAGGAGTCGGAAAATGTGGGGGCTTTGAGAAAGGGGGCCAACTTCGAGAAAGCACAACAGATTGCAGAAGGTAAATAAGGGAAATGGGCGTTCGACGGTCAGATAATTCCAGATAATAATGTCAAAGGGATTCGTATTACTGATTGCAGAGAATCAGGGCAACGATCAGGCCATACAACCCTAAGACTTCCGCAAAAATCAGGATCAGGACCATCCCGACGAAAAGCCGAGGTTGTTGAGCAGTTCCACGTACACCTGCGTCACCGACGATACCAATTGCAAAGCCAGCTGCCAAACCGCAAAGTCCTACACTTAGCCCTCCACCTAGTTGTTTGAGTGAGCTGCACACGGTTATCATATAAAAAGAACAGCTTACGTAGCCATTTGAGTAGATTTATCCTTCTGCTGAGAAATGACAACAGACACGACTAAACCATAGATTGCAACGATACCAGCCATGACAACTGGGACGATAGACTTCATAATTAATTCTGGCCTCATTACACCCATGGAACAGATGCCTGCACCAGACTTCGCTGTCCCGTATGCGGCCCCAAAA